CTATTTGATTATTTTGCGTGCTTTTGTATTTATATTTACGATACTTTTGTATGTAAATTAAATATTATATACCTGTAAAAAATAACACTTAAATGAGAACTATGATAACACAATATATTTGTTTAGTGAAAATATGATACAAAAATCCTGTTTTTACACTTCACTGCAGTAATTTTTACAAGTTATTATTATATTGGTACTGTCAGTCGAACAAACGAAGACTGTTACGCGATTGACGCTCTATATGCGATTTTAACGCCCTACAGGTGCGGACACTTTTTAGCGCGAACCTGACGTCCATTCATTGGTAGGTCAATGCTATAAATGGTCAGAAATGAATTTATTGTTTCTCAAAATATTCTTCGTTAATGCACTTTTTCATACAAATGAACCAATTTTGAAAACATTTATGCCACTCCTCCGTGACAATCTCTAAAACATATTTTTCATACTCTTCCACAGCCTCTTCAGGTGATGAAAATTGTTGACCGCGTAACTGGTTCTTAATTTTAGGAACTAAATAAAAGTCACACGGTGCCAGGTCGGGACTGTACGCGGGATGGCTCATAAGGGCAACGTTGTTCACCTTCAAAAATTAATTTGTCTGTCTGGCCGTGTGAGAACTGGCATTATCGTGGTGCAAGATGATACGGCGTTTATGGTTATTTTTACGGAGTTTGTCAATAACTTCCGGCAAACAAATGGTCGTGTACCAATTACTATTCACGGTATAACGATTCTCCAAATCAACAGTAGCCACGTGTCCAGTTTTATTAAAAAAAGAAGCAATCGTCCGCTTAGCGGCACTATGCACGCGCGCCACTTTGGTTAGTTTCATCTCGAAAGACCCATACGCTCGATTGCTGCTTTGTTTTGGGATCGTAACTATAAATCCATGTTTCGTCACCTGTTAGTATGCCCCACAACCAATACAACGCCCCTTCGTTGAATCTGGTAAGCATGGCATTGCACCAAGTAACGCGATCCGTTTTTTGAGCCTCAGTCAAATTGTGTGGGGTCCACCGAGAGCACAGCTTTTTCACACCCAAATGTTTGTGTAGATTGTATTTGACTTCACACATTAATAAATAAAAAATATCCATGCCTTTGCCTAAAGATGCCCGAATCTCGTGTATGTCACATGCCTGTCTGTTTTCATCATACGGCGTACAGCATCGAAGTTTTTGTTGTTCACAGCAGTGGACGGGTAACCATCACGACATTCGTCATTGAAATTCAAACGACTGCGTTTGATTTCTGCAAACCAGCTATAAATAGTCGTTTTGCGTGGTGCTTCATCGCCAAAAGCAGTTTGAAGACGAGGGAAACTCCGCTGAGCTGTTAAACTACACTTCGTAGAAAATCATACTACGAAAATTTTCACGAGTTAAATCCATGGTGATGTAGACAACCAATTTTGAAAATGATGCAACAATGTAAAAACGAGTGACAGTCAGATGAAAGAAACTGTATTCTACAGCTAAAGAATTCCATTTTTAAATGTTGTAATTACTTTTTAAATATTGTTTATGTAAGAAAACCGGAAACTTATAGTGCGCCCTATGTATAATAAAAAGTCCGATCAAGTACTTTCATAAAATTCATACATAGCACATAAACATAAACCTTTTTTAGTTGGAATTTTGCACGTAGTGCATCGGTACAATACAATTGTGATACTTGATATAGTCAAGGTGTCAATCATGTTGCGTTGTTGTCTGTACTCTGTAATTATTTGTCATTAACGTAATGGTTTGAATTATTGTTTTTTACGATCATCTCTATGTGACAATTACTTCATACTTCTTTCAAAATGATCAAGTCTATAGTTACAGTTTAAAAGTAACCAACACTAAATTCCATTGTTTCAGTTCAAATAGGTACCAAGACATCATAATCGCTGTGAGAGTTCCCAGATGTCGAACTATCCAATTACACTGCAGTCTATCGATTACGAGCTCCCTTGGCAACATTGGATATGTTAGCACACACCTGCATGAAGTAGCTTTAATATTGATAGAAGAGTACCTGATAGACGCATATCGAAGATACTGATTTGATTCGTAATTAATAAAGCGATCATTACTCGTAATGGAGTCACACATTGGTGTGACTCCACTTACTGTGACACTTAGGGCCAACACAAACCGGGTGGCGGACGAGGAGGCAAAGGACATTAAATTAATCAATTTATATTTTATGCTATAATAATTGGAATAAGGAATAAATTTTATAGCTCTGAGACGAGCGAGCAGCGAGCGAGAGTAATACCGCCGCTGCATACCGTGGAGGAAGGCGCCTGATACGCCGGAATCCACCGGCACGCGCTGGAGACTCCGACAACTTAATCGCCTAGATTCGCCATCTTCATTAGTCAATTTTATATATCTCAGTCACTTTCGCTTGAACGTATGACACGGATCTCTATGAATGTACATACCAAAATGAACTGACTCTGACCTCAATGGAATTGTCAAAATGTTCTCGTCATGATTTGAACTGGTAATGACAAAGATATCTTACTGTCATTACTTAATATACGTTACTCATGTCCAAAATCAATGTATTAGAAATTTAATTTGACTTATACATAATTATTTACACGGATGTAATGTGTCGGAGCAATAAATATACTGCCTCGGTGGCCGAACGGTTACCATGCCGGACCGCCACGCAGAGGTCCCAGGTTCGATTCCCGGGCCGGGAGAAATATTTGTATGGCGTACATTTATTTCTCTCGTGAGTATGGGTGTAATTTGTGGTTGTCTATGTGTGTGTCCATGGCACCCGCGACACAGGGTTTCCCTAGTGCCGCACACACATGTTGAGTGTGTGCGTTATTATTATTATAAATTAGTGCCGTACTACAATAATCTAACCAGTATCGTGGAACTATAATGTAACTAGTATCTGTAAGTAACAACTCCAGCGATGCCCGGGAACGCAAGAATGAGCCAATGTTGGTAAGCACCGTAAAGTTGGCAAACGATTAGCACATATTATTACAGTATCGATATCGTAGCATTGCGTTGCTATTTGGACCATGAATGAATCCGTTCATTAATACAAGTTGTCAATTTAAGTACAAAAACGAAATAAGACCTGAAAATGGTTTAATAATGCAAACACTTTTTCCCAGTACTCTTTTCACATTCGCAATGCTAGATCGATGCCACACGGCATTGATTTACCAACAAATGGATGTCGGGTCTAATACAAAAACCACGAAAAAATGTACGAAGTTAACCTATACAAACGTAGTGACATGTAACGAAATATAAAAAACTAAAACATTTAATTTAAATTGTAACGTCATTGCAGTACTGCCTAATTTTGCTTGCAACAATTTAAGGACCGAAAAACACCATATTCAGCTTCTACTGGAAATGTAACAAAATGCACCATATGTAGCTTCGACTGAAAATTACTTGAACATAAGAGTGATGGAGTAGCCTTTAACGTAAATATTAATTAATTTTTATATATATATTATTATGTCGAATTTTGTGCAAATTCACTTTAAGAAATAATAAAGAGTTGGGCAGATACAAGCATACAAATTTTACTACAAATGTGAAAGTAAGCGTATACTATAAGAAATGCATGATATTCCAACTAAACGTAAACCGTAATTCCGAAAACCGATTTAGTTTAGTTTTGTAATCTTCCAAAAAAAATACATTTGACATTTTATTTCGTTAGCTCGAATTAAACTCATTAATAAAAAATATTTTTTTAAATAAGATTAAAATCAAAGCGACTCTATAGTTTCTTTGTTCTAAATATTTCAATCGCTTGTGGTTCGAACAATTGAAAATGACCAAAAAGTTTAAACTTCTTGAAATTGACGTAATGGGTCCCTTTCCATCTTTTGCGCATGCAATGTGTAGAAAAAGGACAGTTAGCTATTTGATTATTTTGCGTGCTTTTGTATTTATATTTACGATACATTTATATTTAAATTAAATATTATAAACCTGTAAAAAATAACACTTAAATGAGAACTATGATAACACAATATATTTGTTTAGTGAAAATATGATACAAAATCCTGTTTTTACACTTTATTGCAGTAATTTTTACAAGTTATTATTATATTGGTACTGCATGATTGACAACCGCGCTGTCAGTCGAACAAACGAAGACTGTTATGCGATTGACGCTCTATATGACGTAATGGGTCTCTTTCCATCTTTTGCGCATGCATTGTGTAGAAAAAGGACAGTTAGCTATTATATAAGTAGTGATTATTTTGTGTGCTTTTGTAATTTATATTTACGATTCATTTATATACAAATTAAATACGATAAAACTGTACAAAATAACACTTTTAAATGAGAACTATGATAACACAATATATTTGTTTAGTGAAAATATGATACAAAACCCGGTTTTTACGCTTTACCTATACTTAACAAAATTGTGAAGATTATAAAATTAGCATACTAGCCCACTAATCCACAGTTAATAGGTGTGCGTGTCTGGCATACTGAAATCATAATATTAACAGGAAAGAAAGACATGTAATGGGTCGTCTTAAAGGTTGTTTCTTTTGAATGCATATCTAATTGAAGACAAAGATATTAAGGTCACTTTCACTATTGTGGGTAACCCTAATGGACACATAGAGCTTCCGCTCGCTTATACCCGACCTCGAGCGCGCGTGTCAACTTGAACTGGTATAACCTTGAACTGTTAAATCAACCAGTCTATGATGAGACAATCCTCTCACGGGTCTCGTTACACGCAATTCTTGCGCGAAAACGTTTGTGGTATACACATAGTTTTCTAAATTAGTACATCTATTCAAATAAAATAAATTAACCTATGTATAAATTTTCTCAAAATAGGTAACGTATAGTTATAATGGTTATACCTAAATTGAAACTTGCATGGTGAATATTGTTAAAATCTTAAGCTTTTTTATTTGGTATATTTATAAGACTAAGATAATGATTTTCCTGATATGACAAGTTATACAAACAGATAAAACAACTTACATGATGGCACCAAAAAGCATAATAAACGCCAGAAGTGTAGATGGCCAGTAGCGAGAGCGCTATACCAAAGAGATCATACATCAAGAATGTGTTGTAATCGTGCTCTGATCGGCATGAGAACGTATGGTAGAGAGCTGACAGCAACATGCAGATCTGCAATAGAAAAAATCGTGTTAAACAGGAGTGCAAGCGTAAAATATACATTTTGTCTGAAGTTTTGAGTTAACAGAAATGCTGCTGTTAGTTACCTACGTAAGAAGTGGATCGCTTACGCGCATATGAGTTCAACTGCTGTTTTGCAATGCAGTCGGAATTAGGGCTTGCAATATTCTCCCATGTTTGGTATTCGGATAATTCGAATAATATAAAATATTTTATCGGAATAAAACGAATATTTAATACATCGGTTTTCTTTTATCTTTAAAAATCTTCTTGTTATTACAAAAATAAAAATTATCAGTTGATTTTGTACAATAATACTATTTGTATTTCGATTTCGCATTATAGTTAAAGAAATATTTTATTATTTGCACCGATGAATGTTATCTTTTGGAAGGACTTACCCTTTCTATTACAATAGGGTAATAAAACCATTAACACTTCTTTTAATTAAAAACGTACATGGACTTTATGATCTTGGTCCATCGTACGAGTCATGGGTGTGTTAAATGCATTTTCTGAATGCTAGTTTTCAATTCTTTATTTACTAATCAGGTTGTTTTTATGCTACCAGATACTTCGTAATATACCGCCTGCCGACTGGTTTCTTACTAATTCAGCAAAGTTTGTTCCGCACAAAGATTACCAAGTTTAAAATGAAGTGTCAATGAATGAAAGTGTTGCAAAGTTTTTGACTTTTGTCCTATTGTACTTCAAAGACAAGACGATTCGATGCAAATAATATTTCGCCAACTATACATCCGTACACAAAACTCGCTGAACGTATTCAAAAATATATTAAAATACGCGCAACCTTCATTTAACCTTAAGCGCTCGACCCGGCAAACAAAACCTATTTTTTTTATTACCGTGAGGAAAATGCGTTACGCATTCCCCGCCGCTGAGAGACGGCGCGCGGCGGGGATATGTGGGACTCTCTCCTGGGGACTACGTCGGTCCCTAAGAGCATACCCACTAAAAACCTCACGATGTTCCTGCGCGTACCTGGCGCCGGAGCCGCGGGGTTCCTTTCAGATGCTACCGCGACTCCAGTGGTACCGGTCCGCCTTTAGGCGGACCCCTACACCATCTCTCCTTAATCTTGGGGGCCGACTTGCACGAAGATGCCCCGGAACATTTGGGACATCTACCGGCGGCGGAGGCCTGTGCAATACAGGGACAGGGTCTCTCAACCTTGCACCCTGCTGGCCTCCGCTGATGGGACGCATGCGGTCGGGAAGAGTCGTCGCGTGCGTCCTCTTCGCCGACGCCGAATGGTGTCCGAGAGGGCGCTGTCTTCGCGGACCCGTTCGGCCGTCTCGCAGAAGGAGACCATCGCCTGCCATGACCTCTCGCTTCCCAGCATGGCTCTAACTATGCTGAGCAGTGAGAGGTCTCATCCCACCACCTCCACGAGATCCCGGCGCTGCTGGTTCCAGGTCGGGCACACCTCCAAGGTGTGCCTCGCCGTGTCTGTAGCAGCGCCGCGCTCGTGACACTCCGGGGTCACCCTCTCCGTGCGATCTTGTGCAGATAGTCACCGAAACAGCCGTGTCCGGTAAGTACCTGCACAAGACGGTAGGTGAGGGACCCGTGCCTCCTCTTCCTCCAGTCGGCCAGTACAGGGAGCAGCGCCTGGACGGTGCGCTCCCCGCATCTGGCCGATCGGAGGGCCTCCTCCCAACCCGCCGGACGGCGGTCTTGGCGGCACGCCGCACCCCCACTAGCTCTTCTAGTGTGGGGCGCTCTCCACGTGCCCTGGCTTCCGCACGGCACTTGTAGGTCTGCTCGAGGACGGACGCCTCGAGCTCCCAGGGTGCGGATCCAGACAGGGCGCATGCCGTCGCTCCGGAAACCGTCCTGTATGCCCGAATCGCCCTCACCGCCATTAGCTTCCGCGGCCTGCGCAGAAGCGGCCGCAGTCTGGTAGTGAGGGCCTCCTCCCAGATTGGCGCCCCGTAGAGGGCCATGCTCCATAAGACGCCAGCATATAGCCGACGACATAGGGAGCTGGGAAGCGCCGCCGCGGCGGACACGAGTCGCGGCGACAGCCGGTGGAAGTGCTCTTTGAAGTTCCACCGGCTGTCCAGGGTGAGCCCAAGATACTTTATATGAGGGCTCACCCCGACCCTCCTTCCTCCCACCTCCACCCAGGAGCCGGGCGGAGGCCCTCGACGGAGGCCATAGAATGCTATGACATCTGTTTTGTCGAAGGCGACCTTGAGCCCCAGCTCCCCAATGCGGCTGACCACTAGGGCGCTTCCCTCAGTGGCCAGTCGCGACGCTTCCCCCAATCCCGCCCCCGGGCGTAGACTAGAGTGTCATCTGCATAGCTGATTACACCCAGTCCAACGGGGAGAGATTATCGGAGCACGTGGTCGTACCCGAGGTTCCACAATAGCGGGCCCAGAACCGAGCCCTGTGAACCCCACGGCACATGCTCCGCTCCCTCATCTCCCCGTTCCGGTCAAGGAAGGAGATCTTCCTCCCGGTGAGGTAGCTCGACCACCGCTGCCACCGCGCCACCTGACTCAGCTCGAGTAACTTTACAACTGGAATAAAAACTTTAAAACTGTTTACGTATTATTGGAAATATTCAAACTATCCGATTCGTGGCGACTGCACGATCCGAATAGCAAATTTAACGGATATTCGAATAAAACGAATATTACTATCAGATGATCGACCGTCGATTCATTCAACTACATGCTGTTATCTGTATAGTTACGAAATAAATAAATTAAATTAATGTAACAGTATTGAAATCCTCCATCTTATTTTCACGTTGCTCCGACTCCAAAGAAAGTATCTAAAGCACTTGTGTTATGGAAATAGGAAACAACGACGGTACCACCAACATTCAGACACGAACCAATATAGAAAAGTTAGTTTTTCTACTTTTTTACCCGGCCGAAGATCGAATCCGAGATCTCAGAGATGGCGACACCATAAATCATGATGTGTGCAAGCTACTCGACCACGGAAGTCACTCATGTCCGTACTCTCTGATTATGAATTTATTATCTGCCACTAACAGTACGCCGTCAATGAAGGAAAGCACGTGTCTACACTACATGACTGCAGCCAAACGCGAGCGTTGAACGTGTTCACTGCACACGCAGTCAGTAGAGGTGGGTGGTAAATAACGTCACGATGACAAAATCACATGATCAGCCGTCAAACAGTATCACCGTAACTTTTTACGAAAAAACGACATTCCAAAATTACATAGGTTGTACCTCCGTTCCACTAACTGTCTCCGTCATTCAAATCACGACACACGACGTACTTTACGAACAAAATCATGCGCGATCCCCGTTTTGTAGAGACTGGCGACTATGCTATACATTGTAGTTCGCTTTTATTTCTAAATTCTAATTATGAACCAACAAATAATTAGATCAGTATAAATACCATGTAAATATTATAAAAATATCGTGATGCAAGTTACAGATACAAGATACAAATACAAAAGAAAATTAGTAATTAATGTAATTAATTGGCTTACGTATGGAATATAATTCCACCCTTGGCTAGGCTGGATGCAGCAGAGATTTTTTTGCAAGTTTGTATAGCGCAAGACGACATGTTTCGTGGAGCACTTGACGCGGTGAATTCGATAATAGAAATGACAAAACATTGAATTGAAAGTAGTGTTTATTAGGCGATAGTTGTTTTGTGCTTGTACCTTGACAGAGGGGATTGCCTATCGATGATGCCTCCAGTCATATATGCTGTAAGGCTTATACAGCAATAGCTAGAACCGAACAATCATGTAGGAAGTGAAAGACGAAAATTCTTTGAAACTATTATACATTGTGCTGTTGACAGTACATTATAAACAAGCTTATGACGTAGGTACAATGGCATAAATAAAAAAGACTGGTTGCGGGTATGGGCTGTAGTGTTATATTATGTCAGGGAGTATAGTCTTCTTATCGTGTCGATGGTATACACGCAATAAACATTTGCCATCGTGCTGAAAGGATTTGCCAATCAGCTTAGGGTACTCGCCGATTCAACAATCCCAACCTCACGATGTACCAGATGTACAGGAAAGGAATGGTACGTCGTGCGGGAAGGCTCCTGTCGTGCACCGTTTCGGGGTGTACAGTATGTACTGTGTCAACAAAAATATTTTAAAGGTGTAACTTTTTTTTATATTTTTTAATTAAATCGAAATTTTATCATAGACGAATATTTATACAATGGACTATTTCTGTATACTCAAAAATTAGGTTGAAAGAGGGTCAGGTTATGCTGGCGACGGGGGTTTTTATTAAAATTTTGTTGCTTTTGAAAAAAAAGTGCTACTTCCATGATATTAAGGGATAGGAGGGTTAACATAAGGTTCTCTTTAATCCCCCCCGAAGGGGTTCCCGCCTTGTCGTGGCGGGGGGGGCTCTAGTAGCCGTGGTCGATTTCATCCCACGGTGAAGCTAAGAGGAACACACGGGGCCGGCCGATGGTGGTAGGCTGGCCTGAGGAGGAGGGCGTTCCGCGCGGGCCTCGTCTGGTCAGCGGGACCGCGCGGATGCGCGAGGAGGAGGGTCGCGGGGGGAGAGACGTGTCGGTATGTCGTTGCCGCCCGTCCTGTCCTCCGCGACTCTGGCGGGGCTGCACCGCTTTCGACGATGCAGTGGCGGCGGGGCCGCGGGGGAAGAGATGTGTCGGTGTGTCGTTGCCCCTCGTCCTATCCTCCGCGGCCGAATGTGGGCGGTTGGCCCGTGGTGGGCGCTCCAAGGGACTCTCTTCGGAGAGTCCGCGCGGAAGCGCGTTAGGTGTTGCGGCGGAGCCTGTCATCAGATCCGCCGCGGGGGCTGGGGGAGCAGCCACTGAACTTCACAGTTGAGTGGATGCTGTCCTGGCCCCCCGTGGCCCCTGGGTAGCGGACTCGGGGGAGTTCGCTGCCCAGCATAAAGGGGCCCGGGATGGAAGGCTCGTCTGGTGTTCGGCGAGCCTCACATTCGGATTCGGGGGACCGATGCGTCTCCCTTCTCGGGGAGGGGCTGCGCAGGGCGCGACCAGCCGCTGGTGGGGGCGCGGACGAGTGCAACAGCGTACCCGTACCCCCACCCACCTACAGCGGAGAGGAGAAACACTCCGGGGGTTTAGTGCGGTCGGGCTGCTCCCCTTCAGGGTCAGCCCAGTCCCACATAACCCCGGCTCTGCCCCCGCGGGGCCGGGGTATCTGTAAGCAGATTCCCCCGGATTAACAAAAAAAAAAAAAGGGTTCTCTTTAATAAAGTGTGGTCTACAATAATACGGAGAAGAGAAATAATTATTCGAAGACACAAACCTCAGTGTCAGGTTACAAGTTTCGATTATGAACGTTATGTTAATAAAACAAAGTTTCCAAATGACGATAGTATTTTAGTTTCGAAGATTTCACAATCAGTATAAACCACTCTCTATGAGGATATACATATACCTACTATTTAATGTAAAATATTACGTGTTTACTAATAGCTATACACGTGTCTAGAATACATTAGTTGTATAAAGTAATTTACGTATTTTTAACCGACTTCAAAAAAGGAGGATATTTTTGTATTTGTATAATAATAATAAATATCCGAAAAATATTATTATTGTTTAAATATGACTTTCTCAAACTGGAAATTTTTCCATGACCTAACACTAGTTACGCGATAGGCATTTGTGAACCGATTTTGATGATTCTTTTTTGTTGGAAAGAAGGCATCTCAGTGTTTAGTCCCATTCTTTTTCAAATTCGAAGGAATTATTCCATCTCTAAGAGGAAGAATTCGGTTTCGCACACTTTCCGGTAACCGATTTCAATAAAACTTGGTATATAGTAGATGAAATTCCACCAACTTTTGAGGTCGGTTTTTTTTATGAAAAAGTTTATGTATAACTTTTTTTAGAAAGGAAAGTAACTTTTAATGGATTTATATCAAAATTTGAAATATTATCAGGCGAGTTAAGATGAACATACTTTATTTTTTGTCAAATATTTTGAGCTCTAGAGAGTACAGATAAAGTCATAAAAGAATTTTAAAGTACACTAAACGGTTACCTATATTTCGGACTACTGCGAAATAACATTTTCCAGAAATAACGTTTGGTCGAAATTTCATAACTTCGAAAGTAATTTTCAGAGAAAAATGTTTTTTTTTTTCTTTTAAACCTAACTTAATGTAACCTAACCGAATCTAATCGTGTCTTTGCGAGAAACATTCAACATATCCTGAAAGAACAACTGTTTCGTTATAATTCGATTTTCGGTGTAATGAAAATTCGAACAAACGTTATTTTGGACAAAAAAAATTCGACTTTGTGATAGGTTACCACACTAAACTTCTCGTTGTTTATAAGTTTTACATGTTTTAACAATTATTACGCTTCATTAAAAAAAACTTGCAAATTGTGCTAAAGTTTCTCTTCACCCAAAAGATTGGGTAAGGTCGCGTTCCCATTATGTCATAACGTTTTATTTATAGTTGGACGACGGTCGCGATTAGCATGTTCCCATATCACAACTATCTGTCATGACTGTGTCGCTCACCCGAGGCACTAGCCTCTTGAGAACCGGTTGAAGTCAATGACAACGGTCTGTGACAACCCTGTACACTGGCTAATCTGGTGTCAGAACTTGAACTGAGAAATTTCCTGTGCAAGCACGGGTTTAAGTGCCCTTATCGTACATCTTAAGGGTCGGAAGGGAGGGTCACAATAATCAAAACTAATGTACTTTTTTATCGTTGAACGACAGTCATGCCTTGCTGTTCCCATTGGGTCGTGACGATAATTTATAGTTTCACGGCAGTCGCCTTGTTGTTTACAGATTTGAGACAACGATAAATAAAACGTGACGACAATAGCAGCTGCGATGATCTGTCGTCACATTTTTATCGTGACGTTTAGTTTATCGTCGGACGACAGTCGTTCTAGCTCTTCCCATTGTCTTGACAGTCTGTCGTAGTAACGTCAAAAAAGACGTCAACGACAGTTAATCGTGTTGTACTCTATGGTAACAACTTCATTTAAATATACAAGCCACACGACACTTTAAACTGCATGACTATCTGTCTTCACAACATAATGGGAACGCGACTTAAGAGGAACAGTCATCGTATTTCTTATAAAGGTATACCTCATGTTCTCAAGATTTCACAACGGTGTGTTTTTTTTTTCGTCATTTGAATTTGGAGAATCGTAGCGACATCTCTTCAAAATCGTTTAAACTAATCTGTTTGTTTGTTATCAATTGAGAGACTATAGTGCTAAACTCTTTAGATTATGAGTGAAGGCTTCAAACCCATCTACCCCAAGTATTCTTTTTACCCACCTGGCCGTAGTAATATTTATAATTCTATAATACTATAATTATAATTCTAGTTTCTGGGAGTAAGATATCTGCCACAGATTTCCATTGCTCCATTTCAATATGATTTATTGAAGCCATATAAACACACGATAAACAAACACAAAAAAAGGCAAGGATCATCCCTTAGATTAAGGAGATATAGAAATAAAGAGAAAATAATCTACTTCAGGTTCTACTTTATACTACAATCAGGTTGGGGAATTCAGATTTGAAAACCATCACTATGTGTTCATTCACCGTCAAGGTGTAAGAAAGGCGCGGAAGTTTATACAGGTTGTCCGGTAACGCGCGATTATTTGGAGAGTCTTATGCCAAGTTGAAGACATAAACTTTTGTTAGCTATGTACATTTGTAATTATTCACAATAACAAAAAAAACTAGTCGCTCATATTTCGTCAAACGGTATACAATTTTGTATAGGAAGTTGACATTTTTTATTGCGTTGCTATTATAAAATACTGTATATGAAATAACCGGATATCTCGGTCATTTTGTGACGTCAACTCCAATCCCAGTGACAGACGAGCAACCGGTTTTCGAGTATATAACAATTCTCATCTATGGTTCTCAACAAGTAAACGTTGCTAAGAAAACTTGATTACTATTCATGACACCTATAAATATAATTCGGGTCGACGACTTCGTTGAAGAGCTTTAATAAAAAAAAAAGAAGTATCTGCACTAGACGACGTAGAAACATAATAAATAAATAAATATACAAAAAATAAAAAATGAACTGGCAGTTTGTAGGTTTGTCGGTCAATTTGCGGTTGATGAAAAACACTAATAGCAATTAATATAAGACCACTAATAGGTAAGAAATGACACTGGAAAAAAAACAAGTAAAAACAAATCATATTTAAGTAAAAAGTAGTACAAGTAATGAAGTAAATAAAAATTAAAAGAACGATTATATATGAACGCATTGCTTGAAATGTAGGTTCGGTGTGAAGAGCACGCCAGGCTTAACTCTTAAGATTTAAATTCAACTCTATACCGCTATAAGAAAGGTCCAAAGTGTCAAGTGTGTACTAGATATTATAAAAGGTCGGTAATTTTGGTATTTATTGGTTTAAGTCAAAACTAGCCAAATCAGTGAGGATGCACTTTCCTTTGCAAATAAGTACTTTGATGTAAATGTATTGTGTCATTTTTTATTTTTTTCAGGCATACGTACTTCCTTTCATTCGTTGTCTTATTATTTCCTCGTGTTGTTTAAGAAAAATACTTTACAATTAGGTATATAGGTTATACTCGGCAGAAACGCCTGAATCGTATAATACAAAAGAGCTCAAGCGAATAAACTTTACATACAATAATTTTTTTACACGTATTTATACGTTATTTCGAACCTTACAGCATACTACCAACGCTCAAGTTTCGAACTCTAAAATCTTTTCATATAATTATTGTGGGGGCGGATTATGAGAAAAAAACGCCTGGTTGTAAATTGAGCTTCTTGGTCTTGGTTTTGCTTGGATCGCGGTGAGATTTGGAACGCCTTCGGAGTCTTGTGCAGTCAATTTTGGAATGTCGTTCCGCTCCCAACGCTCCGCTTTTTATATCATCGCTGGCCCGCCGTGCCGCTCGCATTCTATTCAAGTGTGCGAGCGGGACGGCACCAATGCAGGAGCGGGACGGGAGAACCCTACAGACTCCAAGCAAAACCCCTCTCTCCCTCTCGTTTATTTACCAAACCTTAAACTAAATTAACAACACCAAATTATAATAATAAATCACAATAATAAATTTACAATATTAAAATCACATGGGCGCGAACACGTTTTCGTCCTGAACATATTCTCCCGCCGCAGCTTGTAGCTGGAAAGTCCTAGGGTTCGCGCTTCGTTGTCTCGTTGCCTCCCGTTTCAATGATTACCAGCTTCTTTGTAGGACGGCGCAGAACTCCTCTGTTTGTCCGCACGTCGACCGCCCTTATTTCTCCGTCGGGGCCTGGGTATGTAGCCACAATGATGCCGCGGGGCCAGGTGTTGCGTGGTAGCGTCCCGTCGGCTATGAACACCAAGTCTCCCAGTTGTAGCGCGCCGTTGGTGGCTCTCGGAGTTCGTCTGTGCTGGAGATCAGGGAGGTATTCTCTTATCCAGCGTGACCAGAACATGTCGGCCAGTCGTTGGCTGGTCCGCCAGATCTTGCGCCCGTCGATGTCAGTGTCCGTGAAGGCACCAGGCAGTGGTACTCGTGAGGGACCCCCCAGTAGGAAGTGGTTCGGAGTCAGGGGGTTCTCGTCTTCTGGAGCAGTGGATACATGGGTGAGAGGGCGGCTGTTGAGAGTGTGCTCTGCCTCGACCAATAGAGTGTGCAGGACCTCTTCTTTCGGGGCGCGTTCGTGCAGTACGGTGTACAGAGCTGTTTTGATGCTTCGTACCAGACGCTCCCATGCTCCTCCCATGAACGGTGCGCTCGGCGGTATGTATCTCCACTTGATGAACCGGATACTGGCGTCTTCCTGTATAGCTTCTAGTGCTGCCCTCTGTAGCTCGGCGTCCGCGCCGCGGAGATTGGTTCCCTGGTCAGACCACAGCTCCGTCGGGCATCCGCGTCGCGATATGAAGCGACGGAGTGCCATGATGGCGGAGTCGGTGCTCAGATCTCCGGCGACCTCGACGTGGACCGCTCTCGTGGTTAGGCAGGTGAAGATCGCTCCGTATCTTTTTTGTCGTGTGCGGCCTACTGTGACTTGGAGTGGGCCGAAGAAATCCAGCCCGGTGTATGTGAACGGGCGTTGATGGTGAGCGAGGCGGCTGGGCGGATGGTTTCCAGTCGAGGGTTGTGGAGGCGTGGCTCTCATGATGCGGCACACTCGGCAACGTTTCAGTTCGCTTCGCACAGCGTTGCGTAGTCGTAGGAGCCAGTAGTGCTGTCGTACCTCGCTGGTGGTGATGCCGAAGCCTCCGTGGTGCGTCTGTTTGTGTATCCAGGCGATATACAGTCGCACCCACGGGTGGTCTCCATCAAGCACGGCTGGTGACCGTTGTTGCTCAGTGATATCACCCGCGGCCGCTATACGCGATCGTAGTCGTATTATGCCTTCGCCGTCGAGTAGCGTTGATAATTTCATAAGGCGGCTAGAGGGGGAAAAGGGGTCCCCCTCTTGAGGGCGTTGATTTCCTCGGTGAACGCCTCTTCCTGTTGTGCTCGTATCCACAGCGACTCGGCGTGGCGTAGATATGATGCGTCGATCGTTTTAAATTTGTGTAAAACTTGCTTTCCACGCACAGCCTCGGAAGTATTCGTCTTCTTGCTTTCTGTATCATTTTTTCGCCAAGTAGGGTCGGCGTCGGCATTTTTCCTCGTTCTCTTCCTTAAAGCGGCGCATCGTTGTGTGCGCGTCCGCAGCCTGTCTATGAACTGTAGTACGCGCGCTGTGGTCCGCATGAGGCGTATCCAACTTGAGAAACGAGTTACTTCGGGTAGAGCTTCCTTCAGTCGCGCGCCGACGCCTGTGGTGAGGTGGACCCGTTCTTCATCCGTGACGTTGACGTCCGTGACTTCCTCTTGAGGCCAATTTTCTTCCGACATATATAGAAAGTCCGGCCCCCTGTACCATCGATGATTAGAGTCGAAGTCGTGTGGCACGTCGCGGGTGGCGTCGTCTGCGACGTTCATTTTGGTGGGTATCCATCTCCATTCTTTCGTTTTAGTGTGTTCAGCGATCTCCGCCACTCTATGCGCTACGAACGGTTTATAAACTCGCGGTCCGTTGCGTATCCAGGTCAGCACAGTGCGGGAATCTGTCCAGTAGTAGCGGCTTGTCGGTTTAAATTGATGCTCGTCGACGACGGTCTGTGTAAGACGGCAACCCAGCACGGCAGCTTGCAGCTCTAGTCGTGGTATGGAGATCACCTTCAACGGAGCTACTTTCCCCTTGCCGATGATGAGTGAGACGTGTATGTTGCCATCTTCGTCTTCTACACGCCAATAGGTGACGGCCGCGTATGCCGTTGAACTTGCGTCCACGAATGTGTGTAACTGGATGCCGCGCGCGTGACTAAGTTTCATATAGCAGCGCGGTACTTTTATCTTGGCGAGTCGTCGTACATCTTCCAGCCATCTGCTCCAGGCGTCCGCTTCGGGCGCTTCTAACGGGGTGTCCCAATCGATGCCTGAGCGCCACGTGTCTTGTATGATGCGCTTCGCTTGTATGGTGACTGGAGTGGCGATGCCCAATGGATCAAATATGGACATCGTAGTGCGTAGCGCCTCCCTTTTAGTTGGTGTTCTTGCCCCGTTGTATACTTCCGCCGGTGTTTTGTGAGTGTTGATGTTGAAAGACAGGGTGTCTTCCTCTGGTTGCCACACCATGCCCAGTACTTTCGTGCTGTCCAGTTGTAGTATGTCGCCTTTCGACCCCGGTGATAGCGTGCTTAGTACTCGGCGCGAGTTTGATGCCCAACGTTGCAGGAAGTAGTTCGCGCGGCTGTGTATGTACGCAACTTGTGTGGATATGCGTACGGCCGCTCCTTCGTCGTCAAAACTCGCTAGGTAGTCGTCGACGTAATGGTTGTCGATGATTGCCGCTGTCGCCTCGGGGTACTGAGCACGAAAGTGTTCCGCGTTCTTGTCCTTTACGTAGATAGCAGTACAGGGAGATGATGTGGCGCCGAATGACACTCTTCATACGGTACTCGGTCGGTTGGCGATCTCGGTCGTCTCCTCTCCACAGGAAGCGTTGCATGTCTCTATCTTCCTCTCGTATGGTCACACGAAGAAACATGTCTCTGATGTCGGCTGCTACCGCTACTGGTCGCTGACGGAACTTCATCAACACGCCGGGCAGGGATTGTATTAAGTCCGGGCCTGGTAGTAGCATGTCGTTCAGGCTGACTCCTTTGGCTTTGGCAGCGGCGTCGTGGACCAATCTGAGCTTCTCTGGCTTCTGTGGATTGATGACGGCGAAATGGGGTAAATACCAAGTCTTCGGGTTCTTATGGGGTGGCGCTATTTCTGCGTAGTCGTTGTCGAACAGTGATTGTAACTGTTTTTCGTATCTCTTTTTCAGTACCTCGTCGCGGTCGAGTTTCTTTTCAACTAGTTCCAATCTTCTTAACGCCACGTCGTAGCTGTCAGGTGGACGAACGTGCTCGTTACGCCATAGAAGACCGGTTTCAAAGCCTCCCGCCGGTAAACGGCGGGTTTTATCTTCTAGTTGTTGCAGTGCTCGTCGCTCGTCGTCGTTGTGGCTGCGTCTCGGTATGACAGCCAATGACTCGAGGCTGAAGTGTTCCCTCATCATCTGCTCCATGGACTCTTCATCATCAGGGGCGACAGCGTGGAGTACTTTGTGGGTGTTGACTCTTTCATTCGATCTCTTAGTGCCGTGTAGAACCCAACCTAGATCGGTGAGTGTTGCGATCGGTTGGTGTCGGTCTCCTTGTCGCACGGCATGTGTGAGTAAAAGATGCCAGTTGTCTTGACCCAGCAGTATCGTAGGTGATCCCTCTTCGTAGATGAGATGCTCTTCTAAGTCGTGCAGGTGGGGGCAAGCTCGTATGACGTTACGTGGGACTGCTTGCGGCGATAGCTTCAAGTTGTTCATGGTGCGGGCTGTTATTGTATGCTCATTCGTGTCGCGCCCGCGCAGAGAAATGCGTACTTGTTGCGATTCGCCAACGTTGATTCGCGTGCCGGCTACACCCTCAATGTAAAAGGGTGCTGGTGTACCCGCTGCGCCGATCCTTCTTGCTAGCGCCGCCTCAATCAGGCTGCACGTTGACCCGTCGTCCAGTAGTGCGAGTGCGTTGCACGTACCCTTGGGGCCCCTCACTTGCACAGGGAGTACCTTCAGTAGCGCGGTGGTGTTGCTTCTGTCTTTTGCTGATGCCACAACAAATGATGCAGGAGCTTCTTTCTTCTCCTTTGATGAGGGTGGAGTGCCATGCAGCAGTGAATGATGCATGTACTCGCAACCGTCGATGCCGCACCTCTTGTTTTTACACGTATGGCGAAATTTGCGTGTCCGTAAACAGCGGAAACATAGCCTATGTTTGCGTGCTATGTCCCACCTGGCGGCTACATCTGCTGTCTTCATTTCGTCGCATTGCGCCGCATGATGACCCGTCTTGTCGCAAATAGGACACGTAGTAACTTGTTCGTGCGCGGCTGGCTTCGCTATTTGAGTGTGGCAGCTCTTCATGGGTCTCCTGCCTGCTGGCTCCCGCCGGTCTTCCACAGGTGTGTTCTCGACGGGCGCGTAGCTCCCACAACGTGCAGCTGTGCGTTGCATGAACTCGGTCAGGGTTACTAGGTCAGGTTGGTATTCTGGCTGTTCCGCAGCAAAGTCATAGTATCGATAGCGCAATGCTGAAGGCAGCTTCTCAACCACGGCGCGTACTATCTCGGCATTGTGTAGATAATGCGGTCTGTTTAGCGCCTTCAATGTGGCCGTGACGTTGATGATCTTCGATGCGAAGTTGCAGATGTCTCTCGGATGTTCGCCCAGACGTGGAAGGGTGCGTAGCTTACTCAGTTCGGCCAGTGCGAGCGCGTCCGAACGACCGAACCTTGATGTCAGTAAGCTCATTACTTCGTTGGAGGACGTGGCTCCGACGAATAAACATTGAGCTGCTTCCCTAGCGGTGCCTTTCAAGCTCCTCCGGAGCCTCGCCAGGTTCTCTTGTTCTGTAAGCAGTCCTGCAGATTCCTCATAGGCTGTCTTGAACGGCAGCCAGTCGCTTGACGAACCGTTGAATATGGGTAATTCTTGAAGTCTTGCAGTAGTGGGTCGCTCGTGCCGCAGTAGTGATCGCCGTTGCTAACTTTTCGTAACATATGTCGCTCGGCGGCTTATGTTCCAGGTGGCCGTCGTTGTTACGATAGTATTGCGGCTGTTGTCTCTCACTTGTGTGCGTGACGTATGTAGAGGGGGGCGCTCCCCCCGCGTAGTTGGTGGGGGGGCACCTGGTCCCAGCTGTTGCAGGTGCCGCGTACGTGGAGATTTTTTCCTGTCGAATGACGTCGCGCGTCGGCGGCGGCGCCTGTGATTCGGCAGGTCTTCCCTTCAATATATCTTCCTTCGTACGTGTGGCGGCAGTGTAGTCTTCCTGCTCTTCTCTTCTCAACCCAATAGTGCTTGTGCGAATCCACTCCGATGTGCGTTCCTCGCGGATCGTGGCTTCCTCTGGATCGTCTTCGTCCGATTCCTCTTCCATTGCCGCGATCTTTGCAGATAATAAATCGATTTTCAGCTTCAATAATTCTTGTTGCGCTTCCGCTAGCTTCTTACGACGACTGTTCGAAGAACCGGATCGAAAAGATCGAACAGATTTAGGAGAGCATATTCTCCGTGGTGCTTCGCTTGTAGTGGCGCCGGCTTCGGGTCTCTCTACTAGTTGGGAGACTGGCGAGGTGGCAGTCGGCGCAGCGTCGATTTGTCTGATCGTCGCGTCGGTTTCCACAGTTGCACCGGTTGTACGTGTGGCGTACGTGGAGCGCGTGTGTTCTGAAGTTGTAGCGGTCTTTTCAGTCCCCGTGATCGTGTCGGTGCCCGTCGAACAGGTTGGAGCAGTGGACGAGGATTCTTGGGTATTCACGGGGTACGATTTTGCGCTTCTGGTAACTGGCATTGTTCTTTCTTGATGTAATCCGGCTGCTGAAGGACCAGAAAATGTGGGGGCGGATTATGAGAAAAAAACGCCTGGTTGTAAATTGAGCTTCTTGGTCTTGGTTTTGCTTGGATCGCGGTGAGATTTGGAACGCCTTCGGAGTCTTGTGCAGTCAATTTTGGAATGTCGTTCCGCTCCCAACGCTCCGCTTTTTATATCATCGCTGGCCCGCCGTGCCGCTCGCATTCTATTCAAGTGTGCGAGCGGGACGGCACCAATGCAGGAGCGGGACGGGAGAACCCTACAGACTCCAAGCAAAACCCCTCTCTCCCTCTCGTTTATTTACCAAACCTTAAACTAAATTAACAACACCAAATTATAATAATAAATCACAATAATAAATTTACAATATTAAAATCACATGGGCGCGAAC